GAGTTCAAAGAAACAATTAAAAGCCCAAAATTACTGTGATGGGTCTATATAAACTTTACATAGGGCTTTTCTGTTCACTCAAACCACCAGACATACATTCATGCAGCACTATTTTATGCCTTATCTACACACAAATACACACACTCAATTTCACAAATGTATTTCTGTGTCTATTTTAAACATTTTAGCACTAAAATCTTTGTCCTCTTTCACTGAGTGAAATTAATGCTTTACTTTACCAAACAACAGTATTGTTTTCAATGTTTAAATTCTTTGTGTAAGAGCAATGATAAATTATAAGGATGAATACTACTGCTAACAATTAAACACAATCTAGCAGTATGCAGACTGGAGGCAGATGTACTGATGACAGGTGAATAAATAAAGGGAGGGAGGGTCCATGGGGCTATTTGGTGTATGGATGTCATATCTACAATAGAATCATAAGGCGTGTATGAGGTGTGATCATGCTTCTGAACTTCAGATAAATGATCTCCAGGTAAGTAAGCCAGCGTAAACACACTCCACCCCCTGACCTACCTGGAGCGTGATCTCTTCCTAAGTGCAGGGCTCGTGGATCTCGATTCTCTCTTGTAGCCTCGACGTGGTGACTTGGATTTCTTCTGCTTCTTTGATGACTTCTCCTCTTTTTTCTTCTGTGGGGATTTTTTTCTTTTCTTTCCAGCAGATTTCACATTTGCAGGAAACGACTTTTCTGATGCTTTGCACTGAAGGAAGCCAGGCTCAGTGGTCAGCTGATGTTTAGCAGATATGGACTGGCTTGGCGTGGACGTGGATGCACTAGAAGCTGAAGCTTTTAGAAAATCACATGACAAAGACCACAGCTTGAAAAAACCCAAATACTCTAAATTAAAAGCCACACCTATTAATAACACAAAGCACTGATTGGACATTACAAAGTATTTATTTTAGTTTTATTCAAGTATTTTAAAATGTAACCCACAAAGATTTAAACTGATGGTGGACTGTGTACGTGCCTGTAAGACTAGAGAGGAAATGACATTTGTCAAGTTATCTCTATTATCACATCAACCAGATTTATAGTGTGTATGTGTGGCAAGTTGAGGCCGATGGCTCGGCTGCAGGGGAGGAGTGAAGCAGCAGGTTCAAGGTGTGGTGTCAGGGGAGGCTGGTCTTCGCAGTTGGCGAGCATCATCTAATCAAGCCTTCCCTATTTCAGTAGCGCCTGGGGCGAGAGAGGGGGGATATCTGATCAGATCTGCTGAAGGTGGAGGAGCTGGCAGCGGAAATCGCAGAGAAAAGAGAGCAGAGCACTGTGAAGTGCAAAACATGAAATAAAAGTGCACAAGAATCTGGGTGGTGCCGAAACGCAGGACACCAGCATGTCATAGCCCCAACCCCCGCAGCCGGTGGAGGCACTGCTGGTGGCAATACACCGGGAGTAGGTGGCGGTAGGGCTGGGCCAAACCGTTCACGGTAATATCGGTATAATGTTGGGCAACGATAAGAAAATGAAATATGGCGATAGAATATGGGTAAAACGC